GCTCTGATATTTAAAAATTTCCTTCCTTGTAGGAGTTCTGGGTTTGGATTACTTGGTTTTCCTAAGACCTTGAGATGCATCATTAGGTTATTTATTTGGGATTGTAATATTTTTCTAATGTGGGTATCTAACACCATAAACTTCCCTCAAAGGACTGCTTGCATTTTGTTCCAATGTTGTACTGGCAATGTCACTTAATTGTAGGAACTGTGTTGTTAATTTTCTTTGTGATTCATTTATTATTCAAGAGTGTGTTGCTTAATTTCCAGAAGTTTTCACAGTTTGTGATTTCATTTGATATTGGTTCTTAGTTTCGCTGCAGTATAATCTGAGAGTATGCATGGTAAAATTTAATTTCTTTTGTATTTGCTTAGGCCTACTTTATGCAGTAGTATGTGTTCTATTTTGGAGAAAGTACCATGTGCAGTCATAAAGTCAATTTGTTCCAAGGTTTGGTTCAACTGATATTTCTTTGTTGATTTTTTGTTTAGTTGATTTATGATAGTGGGGTACTGAGATCCTCCACTATAAGTGTATTGTTATCTGATCTTTTATGTCTGTTAGTTTGTTTTATGAAGTTGAGTGCACCATGTATTGGTGCATATATGTTTGTATTGTTTTCTCTCTCTGTTCAGTGGGTCCTGCATCCAATGCGTAATATTCTATTTGCCTCTTTTGATCAGCTTTGGCTTGAAATTTATTTTGTCATAAAATAGGATAGTTATTAATGCCATATTATATGCCTTCATCCTCTCTGATTGTTGTTCCCACTATATCTGGCCTCCCATGGCAGAATATAGGCCTTGTGATCTTCCTAGTCTGAGCCCAGGCCCCCCAGGAGATTCCTATTTAATTTAGCTTTCACCCTCTCCAAGCCTATCTATCTCCAAAGGCTTTTTTTTTTTTTTTCACTGATCACTGTGAAAAGGGTATGACTTCAGTCCTGAAGCAAAACTCTACTCCTGGGCATCAGTCCCTTCTTCGATCAGGTTGGCCCATGGATTGCTAACTCTGTGCTGCATGGTCCCTGTGCTGTGGAGATGTAGAGTGCAGTTGGGTCCTTGTGACACCAGCACAGGGCCTGCTGGTAGGAACATCAGTTAGGGTGGGACCTAAACTTCCTGGGACCTCCTGGGTCTAATAGGCATGGGTGTTAGTTTGTTGTGGGGCTTCAGTGAGAGATTATATATTTATGATTATACAAAGTGGGCCCCTTAACGCATCCATGTTAGGTTTTGCCACTAAATGAGTTGATGAAAATAGAAGTTTTTGAGAGCCTTTTGCCTTTCAGAATTGCTACTACAGATTTTCACTAATTCCAATACCAAAGTACAATGAATTGTGTAGTTATCATAAGAAGTTGTAATTACGGATTCATTCATGTATTTCACTGTTAATGAAACAAAATCTCATTTTTAACATAATGTTCAAGGAGTTCAATGATTGAAAGGTGTGAAAGTATACATGTTTCTCACTACAAAAAGGTAATAATTTAGTACCCACTAGTGAAAAGTCTCATTGTAGAGTTGTTTCTACATTTGTGCAATTTCCTACAAGCACCTGCTTAAGAGAATTCAGGTACTGAATAAAGTTAAAAATTCACATTATATTCCCTGGCAGTGTTTGTCATCTATAGCATCTTGCCTCTCACTGCATGCAGATACATCTCATTCAGATGTGTACTTTGGTACTGATTGTGGCTCATTCAATGTTTACATCTTTTGTATGTGTTTGATTACTCCTTTGACATTTTTCTATTTTTGTTTCCAACATTTTTTTTTCTTTTCTGTTATCTTCTGTTACTAGCTTTGTTTACTAGATGTTCAGTTTGGCTGATTACTCATCTGACTCTTCTGATATTGCATGGGTGTTTCATAGTTTCATAAAGTTCTCATACACTAAATTTTCAAAGCTGTTTAAGCACATAAATGTTCAGAAATACATATAAGTCATGTAAGTAATGTTGTATATTATGACATTTAAAAATTAGTAGTATACTTCATTTCGCAGACTGCATAAAATCTGGGTTTAATTTTTAAAAATTAAATACATAGAAATGAACTACTACCTTAAAAATCATCGTTACATACCTGCCATCTCAATTTTATAACTTTATAATTATAATTATATATAATTATAATCCTCCTATTATTATTACTCAGCAGCCAACATAATAAAAACAAGCATGGTCTGTCCAGAATCATTGGGTTGCCTGTACATATACTATCTAGAATGGAAGTATGAAAACCTTCTTCTGCTATAGCTTTGAAAAACCACACCTAAGTTTGTCTGTTTGTTTGTTTGTTTTGTGGTACTGGAGATTGAGCTCAATAGTATGCTCTCAAAGCAGGCCCATTGCCACTGAGCTGTATCTGTGGCCCACACCTAAATTTTATATAAATGTACATCAGCATAGATGCATCACCTTTCTAAAAATTATTCAAATGGGAACATTATCTCTCTATAATGCCTTTTGCTCTTTTATTTTACAAAGATACCTTTCCAGAGCCAGGGATTTAGCTCAGTGGTTCCGCCGCCTGCCTCGCAAGTGCAAGGGCCTGAGTTCGATCCCCAGTACAAAAAAAAAAAAAAAAGATACCTTTCCAATAATACCTAACAGATATTTCTTTTCAGATTTGTAAGGACTAAATAATGTAGGGAAAAGCCCCATAACCCAGTGACTGGTCTCACTTTTAAATTCATGAAGAACTCAAATAGACTCTTCATTCTCCCAGGCATTCACAGTACATTTCCCAAGTGGATTGAATTTCTCATTTTTCTAGATAAAGTTTTCACTCCTCCTTCTTCTTGAGTATATTCCTTTATACTCCTCATTCACTTAAGACTGTAGTTGGCTTAACTTCAAATTATATTCAAAACACAACTACTTCTCATTGTTTTTGTCATTTTTCTCTGGTCTGTGGAAGTATTATTTCCAAATTAACTCATAATATTTACCCTTGCTCCCCACCAATATGTTTGTTATACTGTTTAAGTCTTTTAAAATTTAAATCAGAAGCTGGGCGTTGTGGCCCTTTCCTGTAATCCCAGCATTAGGGAGGCTGAGGCAGGAGGATTGCTGTGAGTTGGAGACCAGCCTGGGCTACACAGTGAGTTCTAGGTCAGTCTCAACTACATAGTGAGACCCTGCCTCAAAAAACCAAAAAAAAAAAAAAAAAATTAAGTCAGAACTTGTCATTACTCTGCTAAAACAAACAAACAAACAAACAAACCAAGAAGGAAACAAACAGAAACCTTCCAAAATCTTTCTGACCCTATCTGCTACCATTAGCTTTCTTATTCTTATCAAGTCACAATGGTCCTTACCCTTTTGATAATCATTTGTTATACCACAGGAAACTACTACAGTAAACAATATAGGTTAAGGCACCTAAGCCTAAGGTCAAATTTATTTTTGTATACATAAAAATTATCTTTAGGAATATATTAATCTTGTCCCACACATTTTAGCGATTTAAAAAAAAAAGTTGTACTAAGTTGCTCATATTTTGGCTGGTGAGTTCAGGTACAGAATCATGTTGTTTACACTTAGGGAGTTTAACTTCTTTCTTTTCTTTCTTATTTTAAACTTACAACTTTTTCTTGCTGGTATCCTTTAGTACAGTGCATGTTATATGACAGTTTTGACAATGGTAATTTTTGCAATGTTCCTAACTTTTGCATACATGTTTTTTTCAGTGTTGCATTGCTTCTTTCTGACCTCTCCCTACCCCTGTTCATGACTGATCTACTGTGAACTGAAAGGGAGAGTAAAATTTCCAAGTGAAGTCATGTTTGCATTTTCAGTTGTACCTGTGCTGTTTTTGCTTTACAACGATGTGCTGTTTGAACTTACAGATATTCATAACTGGTACATCATACATTGGGAGGTAACTATTTGCATTGCAATGTAACATTCCATTAATGTTTATGTCCAATGAATTTTGATGGTCTGATATAAACATTTGTTTGCCTTTTTTGATTTTACCTTTCTTTAGTTCTTGCCATTTCTAAAACATTTATTTAACTGTCTTGTTTAGTTGCATATACCACAGAAACAAATTTTGTTCTGATAATCAGAACTCTATTTTTTTAAAATGTCATTTAAGCCATTTAAATAATTTTTCTCTTGAACAATTGCCCTTATTACAAAATTCAATGATATTTGTGATAGTGACCATCTGACAAATAGAACTTGTGTTCATTCTGTTATCATTTTCTTTATAGTATAAAAAATATTTTATCACTAATTCTGTTAACTTGGTTATCATCAGGCATGGTTTCTCTGTATCTTTGTGCTAGCAGTTATGTTTATAACTTCATGCAAATTTGTATTTATAAATTAATGCAGGTAATTTATATCTTTAACCTTTGTTTCTGTATTCAATATCTAATAATTCATTTTTATTAGCAATTACATCGGCATATTTTCATTATTCTGTCCTCTTTTCTTCATCATATTTCAGTTAATATTATTCCTTTTCTTTGCATTGCTAAATGTGATTATACTTTATTTTCAGTTTTAATTGACATCATTTGAGTTCAAATTATTAAAAATGAAAAAGTTGCAGCTATAAAAAGATGGAATAAAAGGGAGAAAACATAGACATGGTATATGCTTTCTAACTTTAGGAACTATTGCGTTAATATTTTGATCTTTAGCTCTACCATTTTCTAGTTTTTACTTCATAATTAAATACCAGTCCTTGAATGGTAATTTTCTAGTTATTTCCATCTGATTGGCAGTATTTAGTAGGAAATTTTTAAGAAGAGCACACTTGAACAATATTCTTTGAGGTTATATCATCTGCAGTCTTTATATTTGAAGGCAGTTTAAATTTAAAATATAAATTATTTTCCTTTCTACTAGATCCTGTAGATGTTAGTCTACTGCCAATTGGCACTTAATGTTACTGTCAATAAATCAGAGAAGCTGGATCATCTCCCCCAATCAGTGATTTGACTATTCTTTCTTCTCCTTTAAAATCCAGTAATTTTAAAGCCTCATTCTAGATTAGAATGGGCACTGTTTGTTAGTGTTCAGAATTCGTCAGGGTAGCTAAAATTGAGACACAGGTCCTGCTTCCATCACAGTAAATGTATTACAGTGGTGACAATGAGACCTGTAACATTTTTCTCAAGAACAATGAAAAATGTTGACTTTCAATGTTAGAAATGAATGATTAAGAAATAATACAGACTCTAGATCATGGGCCACAATATGGACAGTATGTACAATTTAAATTCTAGGCTCTTAAAGTGTAAATTGCAGGAAGGAATTTGGATATAAGATACCAGGAGTTTTGAAGGTGTCATTGTGCATAATTACAGTGGTGATAAAAGAATTGTGGAATGACAATCCATGACTGGATTAAGCATCCGTTCTTTGAAAAAGGACTATCTTGGAGACAAAGAACTTCATTAAAGTGACCTTGATGAGTACGGAAGGAATTATCTGTGAAATTCCTTAAATAAAAATTTATTTATTTAAAAAAATAAAGTCTAGTAATTTTATGAGTTCATGTCTCCTACTGACAATTCTAGGTCAATTTTTCTTGGACCCTAGTATATTCTTTTTTTTTTGGTCTTTTCACACAGGGTCTCACTATACAGTTCAGACAGACCTGGAACTCACTGTGTAGCCCAGGCTGGTCTCAAACTCACAGATATACTCCTCCTTTAGCCTCCTGCATGCTGGAATTACAAGTGTGTGCCACCATGCCCAGCTTCTAGTATCCTCTTTTGATATGTAGACCTAAATTGCCTCCTACTGTTAAAAGTATCATTTAACTTTATCTATAAATATTCATTCCCTTCTATTATTCTGGTTTTATTTAGTGTCTCTATTTCTATCTATATAGTACATATGTATGCACAAACATTTCTCTATAATATTTTAGTTCCTTTGTCTTGTTTTATTCATTCTTGTCATTTTAATCCTTTAATTCCTTCATGGTAGTCTTACCCTCCTTCTTCCAGTTTCATCTTTGAAATAAATATTTCTTTTTTTTTTTTTTTTCTTTTTGGTATCAGGGATCAAACTTGGTCTTTGTGCTTGCAAGGCAGGTGGCGGAACCACTGAGCTAAATCCCCAGCCCCTAATACTTCTTTTCTAAGTTTGGTCAACTCATAATATATCTTTTCTTATTGTCTTATAATATCTTTTAAAGAGTTTTGTTTTTTGGATTGTACTTTTGCTAATAGTTGACTAATTCCTTTATTTTCTCTCTTTTCCTTCTCCCAACTCTTCTTTCCTTCCCTCATGGACAAAAACAAACACAATATATTCAGCAAAATTAAGATTCATATTTAATTATACCATTCTAAATCAGGTCAAAGTAGATCTTAGATTTAGCTCAGGGGTGCAACACCTGCCTTATAAGTGCAAGGTCCCAAATTTGATGCCTGGTACAAAAAAAAAAAAAAAAAAAGGTAGATCTTAGCTACAGGTTGACAGGAGCCACATGAGAGTAAGTGAAGACAGGCAGTCTTTGAGAAACCTATCTGTGGTGAGGAATCTTTCACTGCAGATCCCAGAGAATGATGGCAATAATGTGTATCCTGAAGGCATATAACATACACTCAGCTACAAGGTTTGCTTGTAATTGCAGGCATGGGAACAAAGGTGAGTTGAGGAATAGGTTTAGAAAATCAGAAAAGTTAGGGCTATACACAGAACTTACAGAATGCCTTTTTTCTTTGCCCAGTACTGTTACTGAACCCATGCTAAACTGCTTTGGCTTGGTTAGAGCTTGTGATCCTCCTCCCTCAGCCTCCCAGAGTGCTGGGATTACAGGAGTGTGTACCATGTCCAGCTGAGACTTGCTATTTTATGGAAAGCATTTTGTGTCTGTGGCAGCAGAGATTACTTTCTTGTGACTAGAATGAGTCTGTGACCCTTCTTCCTAACACACACCTAAAAAAACCATAATACTTGGTCACGAGTAATTAAAAGAAAGGAACTTGCACAAGCATGAAAACCCAGATACTCTAAGACAAGAGAATGAAAAGGACAGCCAAACATACAGACCACAATCACTAGAAAAATGTCACCAGGGTTAGGAGTGTACTTTAGCAATACAGTATATGCTTAGCCTGTGTGAGACCATGGGTTCAATCCAGGGGACAAGAAAGACTTCCATAGTGCAAAGGTGGGTTTGAACACTGAATATTTTCGTGTTTCTTATCCCTTTGCATCTCCTCTTTAATAAATTGTGTGTTCAGTTCTTTTATACAAATGGATGGTCTTTTCCACATTGAACTGTTACTATGCTTTACATATTAAAATTAGCATCTTGTCATATCTACCAAATATTAATCTTAGGGTTTTCAAATGTATTTTAATTTAACTTGTGGATTTTTCTAATTACCTACAAATTACTACAGGAAAAAATATCATTTTATGGCTTTTAAATAATTAATTTTTAGACAAATTGTCATTCATTGTAAGCAGCTTTTAAAAGTCAAGCATGCATTCAAAGATGTTTTAAAGTTTGCAAATCATATCAAACCCATGGATAAAACTCAGCCATGATTTTTCTTCATAGTTAAAATCATAACATGATCTATAAGACCTGTATATGTATATAAGACCATGCTTGTCTCTCTCGCTTTTTCCCTACAATCACACTAGACTTTGAGCTGTGTATAAAATACTATGTTTTGCTGATCCAGTCTTTTCATTTTGTTGCCTGAGCTCATCACTTTCATGAAAAAATAGATTTCTGCTTAAATATGATTTCCTCAGAAAAGTCTTCCCTAACCTTCTTATCTAAAACAGAACTCTCATCTCTCATCTGCCTCAGTTGTTAACTCATCCTATGTGAGTTGACTGGCTTGAGAGTAGTCTAGGGGATTAGTAAATCACATTTCTAAGTGGGTCTGGTAGGTCACTGAAGTGTGACCTTGGTCCCTTACTCTTTCCTCTCTGGCACTGTTCCCCTGCTCTGCTTCCTGGGCTGCTATGAATTCAGCATCTTTGCTTCAAAAAGGCTTTCCAGCATGTTCCTGCCTTGGAGCCCAAAGACCAGGAAATGTATTCCCTGAAACCAGGAGCCAAATTAAACACTTCATCCTTTATGGGTGTCGAGTATAATGTATCAGTGACAAGAAAGGTAACACAGTATTCTATACTTTTTTTTTTTCAGAACATGTCATTTTTGAAATTACATTATGTAATTACTTGATTGTTCACGGTTTTGTCTTTGCAATAAGGTGGTTAACTATATGAGGGCTATACTGTTTGTGATAGCACCTAGGACAATTTCTGGCTTATAACCAGCATACAGATATATTTTTAAATGAATGAGCAAGTAAAAGAATGATATTTTCAATGCAGAGGTTTTTAAAAGGCTTAGAACAGCTTTAGAAAAAAATGCCTCCATAGGTTAAAAGACAGCATACAACGGCAAATTATTTAGATGAGAAGAGCTTCTTTAGTTCTTGCTTTAAAAATTTTCCCCAATGATTTGCCAAGTATTTTTAGAACTAATCAGTACATGTATAAAGTCATTTCTTCTGTAGTGAAATGAGATCACATTTCTGTTTGAAAACTACTTTAGTTTGACTTATATGCTTTAAATGTTTCATTTCCATAAATAGAGATTTATATCCACAACTTTTTCAGAAGGTATCTATATTTGATTACAAAACACCCTGCCTCAGTGTCTCCTACTTAACATATAGTATAGGCATATGATAGATATGTAGATTATATAATGCATTAGAAAATGTAAGTGCTATAGAAAACAATAAGTTAAGGCCTGGGGATTTAGCTCAGCAGTGCTGCTGCCTGCCTTCTAAGCACAAGGTACTGAGTTCCATCCCCAGTACCAAAAATAAAAACAAAAAAACCAAAAATAAATAAATTAAGCAAGGGATGCAATTTAAAATGTAATATTAAATGTATTATTTTTATTTCTTTTGCTGGTGTTGGGGAATGATCTCAAGGCCTTGCACACCCTAGGCAAGTGCTCTACCACTGAGCTACACTGTCAGTCCTGTTTTACTTGTTTAACTGTTTAAGACACAAAGGCATGAAATTATCCTGGACTACATTAATATAAAATTTAATACCAAAAGCATGCTGCATTATTTCACTTTTTAAAGTTCTCAGTTATTTAGTTAAGCACTATTCTGGGTGCTGCTCTGGCAGGCCTTTGATATTTATTTTTTCTTTATTTTTATTATATAATTGTTTTAACTGATCAGGTTATAATATGATCAGTTGACTGGACTTAAGTAAAACACAGTATGTTTCATAATCTGCAGGAGCTCATCCATTTACCTGGAAGACATTCTATTTTAAGATAAGAGCACCCAGTCCCTGCCTAAGGGTGCAGCGACTACGCTACAAATATAATTACCCGTCACACAATTACAATTTGAAAAGTTAATCTCTACAATCTCTGGGTATGTACACACCATACCACACACACATACCCTTGCACTTCATCTGGAGAATCCTGATACAGTTCTATTTTCAGTACTATCAGATTAATGTTATTGCCAAAAGTCAAAATGTCTTATTGTAATGGGCATAAAGAGGTTAAAAAAAAAAAAAGACCATGGAATTTCAGTATTAAAGGAAAAATCTTAAAATCTAGAAAAAAATTTTAAACCACTGTTTTTGTTTTATTATTTATTTATTTATTTTTCTTTTTGGTACCGGACATCAAACTCAGGACCTTATGTTTGTGAGACAGGTGTAGTGCCACTGAGCTAAATCTCTAGCCCCTAAAATCTAGAAATTTTACATATAGCTATATATTTCTTCAAAGTGAGAATATGAAAATATATTTTTCAAGCATAATAGCCTCATGAAACTGTTTTTGATGAGATATTCAGAAAGGAATACAAAGGTATACCTTAAATATGAAGTAATACTGATAAAACATCTTGGGAATAGTTTTTGTTGTCTTTTTACAATAACTAACAGACAAGGACAATAGGAAATTTGATAAAGTTGATTATAGGAACTGTGGGAGCCCACTGGCACTTGACATTGGAAAAGTAACTTCTTCTACCATTGAGGCATTGACACAATCTATGACTCTATTTGGCTTTTCTGAGATGAGGGTCTCAGCTATGCAGATGAGATTGACCTGGAGCTCTCTGTGTAATCCAGGCTGAGCT